CTAGGGACCCCCATCAGAGGTGTTGGAGGCATTGAAGGGTGCATGGGCAGGTTGGGTTCCCTGGCAGCTGCTCTGTGCCACGGGTGCACTGGGGCTGGCACCTTCCTGCCACACAGATTAATGTCCCCCTCCTGCAGTGGGTTGCAGTCTGGGCTGTCCTTGCTTCAGACATGTGGTCGTGGTCCCTAGCTATGCAGGGCTCAGGGACCCCCATGGGTCCCCAGGCACTGGGGCACCGTAACTCACCAGTTTGCAGTACTCTCTGGATCAGCGTTGGCAGCCCCTAGAGCTCCGCTGCTGGAGTGCTGCATGCTGGGGCGCTGGGTTTCAGGGCGCTGGGTGTCACTGTGGGTGAGTGGCTGCTCCCCCTGTTTTTATTTAAAAAGCAGCTGCAGTAGCAGCTCTGGGCACAGCACAGGTGACATGCCACATGTGGGGACATGCTGTGCTGCAGGGATGAACCGGGCATGGGGATGTGCCACATGGCACAGATGCAGTATGCATGGGGATGTGCTGTGCACAGGGATGTGTTGTATGTGGTGCTATAGGCAGGGACGTCTGCCCTGTTGTCATGGGTTGGCAGGGATCCAGTGGTACAGCTGGTTGTGCCATACCCACGGCAGGGATGCCCAGTGTGCTGTGCCACACATCATGCCCAGGACAGGATGCCAGCAGGACATGTAGTATATGTCTGCTACCCTGTGGTCCCCCTGGGTCTCTGCTCCATGTCTGTGCTCTGTGTGCCTGTGTCACACCGTTGTGCGCCCTTCAGCTCTGCTGCCTGCCCTCACCAGCTCCCTGGTGGCAGCACCAGGAGTCCCATGCCCACCTGCTCTCTCTCTCCACAGTGAGCTTTGGGGACTGTGGCGAGCAGCGGCGTGCCCCATACGTCTCGGACGACACACGGTTCAAGGTGATCAGGAATGGTGTGTTCTCTGCTACCCGGCCCCTGCAGCTCCGGAGGCAGGAGATTAGCTTCTCCGTTCACACATGGGATGCTACGGGCAAGAAGCACTCAGCCAGGGTGACCCTGCACAGGAGGCGGCACCATCACCATCGCCACCATGACGAGGGGCAGCAAGAGGTAAAGCGCAGCCCCTCTCTTGGGGTCAGCACAGCCCCTCTCCTCAGAGCAGAGCATGCAGAGGCTTGGCGAGGTGCTGACACTGAGCTTAGACACTCTCCCCACAGGACACTGCACCCGATGTGCTGACCTTCCCCAAGCCCAGCCATGGGCTCCATCGGCAAAAGAGGGACTGGGTCATCCCCCCCATCAACTGCCCCGAGAACGAGCGGGGGCCATTCCCCAAGAAGTTGGTGCAGGTACACAGCCCCATGGGGACAGGGCACAGGGCTGGGGGGACTCGGGGGGCCCGGACCCCTCTAACCCCCCCCTCTGCCTCATCACCAGATCAAATCCAACAAGGACAAAGAGACCAAGGTTTTCTACAGCATCACAGGGCAGGGGGCAGACACTCCCCCCGTGGGGGTCTTCACCATTGGGCGGGAGACGGGGTGGCTGGAGGTGACGAAGCCGCTGGACCGGGAGGAGATCGACAAATACGTCGTGAGTGGGGGGCCGGGATGGGGGGACTGGGACGGTCCCGGGGCCACACGTGGCTGACGGTGCCCTTGCAGCTCTTCTCCCACGCTGTGTCAGCCCACGGGCAGCCCGCGGAGGAGCCCGGGGGGGGCCGGGGCCGGGCCCGGGGCCACGCGTGGCTGACGGTGCCTTTGCAGCTCTTCTCACACGCTGTGTCAGCCAACGGGCAGCCCGTGGAGGAGCCCATGGAGATCATCATCACCGTGACGGACCAGAATGACAACCGGCCTGTCTTCACCAAGCAAGTCTTCATTGGCTACATCGAGGAGAACGCAAAGCCTGGTGTGTTCTGTGGCTGGGACCATGCTGAACCCTGAGCTGGAAGTGACACTGCGCCACAGTGTACAGTAGGTTTTGTACCATGAATAATATCTCTCCTGCTTATCTGTGTGTCCAGGCACATCCGTGATGACTGTGAACGCCACAGACGCAGATGATGCAATCAATGTGAACAACGGCATCATCGGCTACTCTATCCTCAGCGAGGAGCCCAAGAGCGCACAGCAGATGTTCACCATTGACCCCGAGAGGGGCATCATCAGCGTCATCGGCACGGGGCTGGACCGGGAGGTGGGAACTCTTGCTGCATCCCAGGGGACAGTGCAGCAGCTTGGTGGTGGGACTCACTGCGGGGAGCTAGGGGTGCCGGAGCTCCAGGGTCTGGCTGTTTCGGGGACTCGCCATCGCTGGCTCACTGTCCCCTGCTATGGGCGTGTTTGCAGTCCTAAAGGCCATCGGGATCTGCAGTAGGGATGTTACCAGGGGTCCCTGTCCCTGCTGAGCCCCAGGAATGGTGGACTGCCAGCCCTCTAGGGGGGCAATGGGGACATCAGCAAGTGTCTGTGCTGGCGGTGAACACAGTGGCTGGAGAAGGGTGAAAGAGCAGCAGGTGATGCCCTTGAAGGACGGGGACATGCCAGACCCCATCCCTGCCCTAATTGTGGTGATTTTGGCTTGCAGACCACTCCCAACTACACACTGATCATCCAGGCTGCAGACCAGGAGGGCAGTGGCCTGACTAACACTGCCACCGCCATCGTGGAAGTCACTGATGCCAACGACAACGCTCCTGTCTTTGACCCCACCATGGTACCTGAGCTGGCTCCCATGAGCCACTGCCCTCCCTGGGCCATTGTGGTACAAGTCCCTCCACCCCAGGGTGTCTGGGGCTGTGGGGTGACCATCCCCATTCCTTATTTTGCAGTACCAGGGGACAGTGAATGAGAACGAGGTGGGGGTGGTGGTGACGCGGCTGCACGTGACAGACCGCGACATGCTGGGCTCCCCAGCCTGGCAAGCTGTCTACAAGATAAGGAGTGGGAACCAGGACGGTGAATTCAGCATCACCACCGACCCCAAAACGAACGATGGCATCCTGAAAACAGCCAAGGTGGGTTGTGTCACCGCACAGCTATCCTAGTGCCGGCTGCCTCCCTGCTAGCACTGCCCAGCTCCTCTCTCCTGCTGCTCCCCACCAGGGCCTGGATTACGAGACCAAGAACCAGTACAACCTCTTGGTGACAGTGGAGAACGCCGTCCCCTTCACCGTGTCCCTGCCGCTCTCCTCAGCCACCGTCCTCGTGACAGTTGGTGACGTGAATGAAGCCCCTGTCTTTGTGCCCCCGGTCAAGAGGGTGGAGGTGATGGAGGACCTGCCTCTGGGGCACCAGGTCACCTCCTACACGGCCCAGGACCCTGACAAGGATCAGAGGCAGAAAATCACGTGAGTATAGGAAGGTTGGTGACAGGGGCTGTGCTGAGGTGCCCAAGGGGCCGCACTGTGCCCACTGTGCCATGCACCCCTTCCTCCCCCTCACAGCATCCCCCCCACTGTCCCCTTCTTGCCTTAGATACCGCATGGGCAGTGACCCCGCAGGGTGGCTTGCCATCGACCCCGTGAATGGCATTGTCACCACAGCCCAGCCGCTGGACCGGGAGTCGGTGCACGCCATCAACAGCACCTACAAGGCCATTGTCCTGGCTGTGGACAGTGGTGAGGAGCACCCTGCCTTGCCCTTTGGGAAGGGGCTGCTGCCACCCGCCCATGTCCCAGTGCGATTCATGGGGCAGGGACTGGGCCAAGATCCCCTCCCTGGTCTGCCATACTAACCCCCAGGTTACCACCACAGGGTCACCAGATGCCACCGGCACAGGGACGCTCCTTCTCCTCCTCCAGGACGTGAACGACAATGGGCCCATGCCAGAGCCCCGGCTCTTCGATGTCTGCAACCGGCAGCCCGAGGATCAGACATTGACCATCATCGACAAGGACCTGCCACCCAATACCTACCCTTTCCAGGCAGCACTGGAGCATGGCTCTGGCACCAACTGGACCGTCACGCTGAAAGGACAAGGTAGGTGCTGCCTCGTTCGGCCTGGTCACCCACTCTCAGTGTGGGGTGGTGGGGAGACGACAAGTGAGGGCCCATCCCAGGCCCCCTTGGCTTTCTGTGCTCCCCCAAGCACAGCTGGTGTTGGCCTTTGTGGTTGGGGACTGCACCAGTGCCAACGGTGTCCCCAAACCAAGGAGCAGGGATGCATCTCTGAGCCCATCTGCTCTCTCTGCTGCCAGACCAGCTGCTGCTGAAGCTGGGGAAGGAGCTGGAGCC